ATGATAACACAAGCTATTCAAGACAATCAACTTCCTAAGGGTGTCACAAAAGGACTGATATCCTTGATATTCAAGAGTAGGCAAAGGACAAGGCTCACTAACTGGAGGCCAATTACTCGTCCTAATGTGGCTTATAAGTTATATGAAAAAACACTATAAATCCGACTTCAACTAGTATTTATGGAAATTATTTCATTTCATCAATTTGCTTACTCATGAGAATATGGAGTAGGCCCATTACTTACAACAACCTTTGACCTTCCTAAAATTGGATTTTTTAAAAGCCTACTATATGGTGGACTGGTTGTTCCTCTTCAAAGATATGTTGGAATTTGGAAATCCAAAGGAGTTTGTTAATATGACAACACTACTCTTCCTAGATTCATTGGCTAATGTTAAGGTAAATGGATCCCAATCCTCTTCTTTTTTCTATTCATAGAGGAGTTTGTCACAGATGCTCCCTTGCTCCTTATCTATTTCTTATAATTGTTAAGGTTCTCAATTGTATGATTAAAAAAGGTGTGGAGGAGGGTAGAATCTATGGAATTGTCCTCCCAATAGAGAATAGGCAGCAAGTAATTGCCCAATTTGTTGATGACATATCCTTCACCCTTCAAGGAAAAGAAGGCTTGATAAAAGTACTCCTTAATGTGTTGCAAACCTTCTACTTTAGCTCTGGTTTAGTGTTAAACTAAGATAAGTCATGTGACTATTGGTAAGCTGAGGCTATAAGACAAACTAATTAGGAATTTCTTAGGTTGATGATAGTAATATTAGCAAGCTATTGGACACCCCCTTTGATATGTACATGTCCTCCATAGATATAGACAACTTTTGAAGTCTAAAATAGACCAAAAGTTGAAATATTAGAGCACAACAAAGGTAAACTCTACTAATAGAGATGTAATAGTTAATAAGATATTATTATCTTATATATATATATATATATATATACATATATATTTTTGCAATATGGAGAGAAACAGAATTTGATTTGGCAAAAGCAAAGACTCAAGTATAGAACTATATGTAGTCTGAAAATCTTCAATGTGCCTATACTAAGGTCTCTTGGCTCGAATGTTACCAATCAAGAGCAAGTGGTATTGACATGGTTAATCCTGTGAATGCCCAAGTTGCTCTAATAGTAAAGTGGATTCTTAAAGCTTGTGAACGTAGGATGTCCAATTTCCATGTGCTTTTAAGATATAGACTAAATTACTTTCAACTACTTTATCCTTCTTCACTTCCAAGCAGAAAAAGGGTGTAAAGCTGGGTCAAGAATGGGATCTTCTTGGAAAGCAATGGTTAAAGATTTGCAAGCCGTAAACCCATTTGTGGCAGAAGAGGTGGCTAGTGAACCCTTCTGGTGGTCCACTTCTTGCCCTCTTATTGGAGCTGGTTTTTCAAAAAGTCGCCCCTCCCAGTTGCAGAAGGTAGGGCTCCAATGTATCCGAGATGCTAGGCGGAGCAATGTCTTCCTCACAGCCCAAGATGCAGCAGAGGTGTTCGGGCTCAAACAAGAAGAAGCACCGGCGTGGAATGCAGCTATTATCAGGCTGAAAAGCCACTGGGGTGCTCTCCTAACAAGTCATTTTTTGCCCGCTGTGCGAGGAGAATGGGTCGGCTGCTACCTCAGCAGTGCCGACCCCTTCCCTTTTGTAGTTTGGCAGGTTGCAGAGGGTGGAAGCTAGCCCTGCCGCTTAATTCCTTTTAGGATTTCCCTTCCCACTGTTACGCAGTGTTTCTCCGTTCTCCCACACTCCCGCTGCCTGCTACTTCAATCTAATCAACAGTCCAATCTCTTTACTGGAATCCACTGCCGGGTAAGAGTTGTGAAGATTCTGAAGTGCCCTCGGCAAAGGCCGATCCTGCTTTTCTACGGACTAGTGGAGAATCTGACCTGGGATCCCCACAAGTTTCAATGGCCCTCACCGAAGGGCCCTGTCCATCTCCTTGGGTATTCGGCCAAGCTTGCACGGGAGCTTCTTCGCGCAAAGCACATCATTCCCGATCCGGTAATGAAGAAGTGGCCTGGAGTCCTGGGTAGTGACTTTCGATTGCGCTGAAAGACGGTCTGGATAAAAAGCTGGGTTAGCAAAGAAGCCGGTCTTCTATGGTTGTTATGGCACCGAGCAATTGCGTTGAATGCGTGGCGGGGGCGGATTGATCGTGCAATTTCACTGAGCTGTCCAGTTTGCCCCAGGCGCTCGGACGAATCAATCCTCCATCGATTCTGGGAGTGTCGTTGGGCGCAGTGTCAAATGGCGTGGGAGCGACCCACTCCATTCGGCCATCATCTATAATGCCCAACCATATACGTTGGATCAGTTTGCGCGGGTGCCATTCAACATTATTAAACGCCGCATCATTTCGTTCCAGCCAGAGTACCCATAATATCACTATCACTGTCCTGATCTGTGACCATAGCAAACTGAAGGAGTCAAATTTGCGAGGGATTCGTGTCGAGAACAGCCCTTGATGCCACGAGAGAGGCTGCCACGATCCTCTCGCAGTAGCGCCAGAAACCAATGCATTAAGTATATGGGTGCCCCATCGCCTTGCGCACTGGGAATGCTGGGACGTTGTCCTCCCAGTATAGGCCTGGTTTCGCAGGGGCTTTGAGGCTAAATGAGTAAGCTAGTTGTTGGTCATAGTCTGTAAAGTCAGTTCATGGAGTCAGTCGGTCCCACCCAGGCCGCTTGCGGCTGGGTTGGTTGTAAATAACGGTTTCTTAAGGCAATGAAGTCCATCTTCGTTTGTTTCAAAAAAGAAAAAAAAAAAGCAGAGTGTAAGTGTGTTTGGATCAAATGCCATCATCCCCACGCATCCGGAAAGGGACTGCGCAGCAATCCCCTCACTCCTATCTCCCTCCCGAGCACTCGTGCTGGCCAGATGATGGAGACCGCACCTCGAAGCTTCTGAGCGAAGTAAAGCGACGGGTACCGCTGGTGGTGGACGACGAGGACGACGAGGACGACGACGAGGACGAGGACGACGACGAGGACGAGGACGACGACGAGGACGAGGACGACGACGAGGACGAGGACGACGACGAGGACGAGGACGACGACGACGAAGTCGAAGACTTCGAGGAAGAGGAGGACTAGGACTAAGGGGGGGGATCTAGTGGCGTGATCGGCACACCTGGATGTGCTTCACATGTGGGAAAGTTGTGCACCGATGCTCGCCATGTAGTCTCCCGTGGCCTTTGTTGACTTTTGTGGGCCGGCATGCAAACTCGATCGCCTCGTTTTACAGTTGGCAGGATGAGAGCTTGCTTGAGGTTGTGGTGTTGTTATTAATCTTGTTTCTTCTCTCGACTTTCAGACCGAATCTGTCTACAGATTCCCGGTCTGTGCACCACACACGTAATCACCGGATTCTATCGAGAACTCATCCGGTTAAGCTCAGTCGGGAGCTTCTCGAGCTAGATGGCCGTTCCAATGGATTACAGTTTCTCTGTTAGAATAATAATGATAATAATAATAATGAAAACAGCAATAATAATAAAAATAATAAACACTTTATCACATAATCACAATAAACAGTGATCATATGAAATTGTGTTGTGCCCCTGCAACTAGCATGAGTTTCAAACTGAATTGCGCGTAAGTGTCTCAAAGCTCAAATGTATTTGATCCTATTACAACTGCCTTGCTTACGAGGCTCTATCTTGGCATGGGAATCTCTGAAACTTATTGCGTCGATAATTTGTTCCATGCAAGATTCCCTTATCATCACCTTAGATCATCGCTGGCTGGAGGACTTTGAATGAAGAATTCGAGGGCCATGAAACGTCACTGCAAAGTCACAGAATCTCCGCTCTATCAACTCTCAAATCTACCAAGTCCAGGAGTGCGGACCCAGAGACTAAATCCTTCGCTCGATTCCAGAAAACTATGCCTGATCCTTCGTGACCATTCATTCCGAAGTTCTGTGAAATTATGGTCCGCTGCCCGAGCAACTACGGACTCTTCGCCACGACCAACGACGATGCCCTTTGCAGAGATGAAGTTCTGTGACATGATTACTTACTGGGTTCTCGTGATTGCGCCCTCGTTTGCTGGCGAGAGAATTCAGCCTCGGAATCTGGAGCAAATGATGGGAACAGTTGGATAACTGCTTACGGTCCCGGGCTGCAACGTTGAGAAGCACACCCTGTGTGGATTGGCTCAGGTAGCCAGTTTGTTACAAATCAGCAGCTGCAAATCGACCATTTACCGAAGATGGAAAAAAGTTTCGGCTGGCAACTGAGCATATATATATATATATATATATCTACATATTTTAAGCACTCTTTGGATTGTCATAATGGAGAGCTAGATGTTCTAAGAAAATTAGCCAACCTCTAATGTTTCACACAACCAGGCGGTTACATGCTGAATCGCACACAGTTGTTAGCTGTCTTTTACCAAAAATAAATTTTCTCATGACTACCGTTCCGTGCTGTGTACAGAATTAAACATCACGATCATGATATACATGCCGCGCTTCAATTACCATCTTCGTGCAACTGTACCAATTCTAGCCCCGCACATCGGCACATCGTGCACCCTGTCCATCGCAAATGGTGGGGATCTCTCTTAGATTCATTGGGACTTGGTATGCTCCCCCACCCACGCACAGTAAAATTATCTGCCTATTGATTCAGGATTCAAGATCCTGTCAAGGCTACTGGTCGATAGTCAACGGATGACGTGTGCTTGGCTCGTTGTGGGTGGTGGATCCGAGAATAACTAGCCGAGCATCTGTTGCCGGTTACTGCGTTCGTTACACGATTACTGCAACTGTAGCTGCGGAAGAAGTGTGTCGTTGCTATTTTGGCCAAAGACGACAGAGAGAAGGGAATGCGTGCAAGCGGTTTAGGGACTTGGGCCTTGGGCCGGGGTGCCGTCCCCGAGCTGCGTATAGGTAAGTTAGAGCAAAGACAAGCTAAATGCTGTTAAATTAGTGAAAATAGGAAGGAAAGGTCAGATGCCATGTGGGATCCGCATCCTTAGGCCGCTTGAAAGGACAAACAAAGCAAGCTCGGAACACAACGGGGAAGAAATAAAAGATGAGGGGCTTGGGAATCTGGAACGACAGCATTCTTTTCTACCCGAAAGCGGCCCGGTGGTTTGCCATTGCTAACAATCCAAACTCCCGACTGCTCCAGAGTCTCGCATCCGCAACAGTGAAATAGAGCACACTGCGCTTGCTCAGCACAAGACTGTTCCAATTCTTTTGCTTCGTCTGTTTTCATTCAGTGTCAGGGCTGTGCTCTTGGAAAGGGGACTCAAGTACACTTGAACAAACTTGAAGGTTGGTAGTCTGCTCCGATTCCAGTGCAAATCTGCACATGTCTGTTAGAAAGTGCCTCGCTACTGCCCTCTTGTTGGTGAATGATGCCCTCCGTGGCTGTAACCTCGCTCGCTCGGCACTGGCACTCTGGAAGGCAGTCCTCAGGGATAAACTTTCGATCGTATGCTATGATCTATCTCGTATTCAATTATTGATTTGTGTGAGGATTGAGGCATTGAAATCTTGTTGCTCTTTACCTTTTCTTGCTTTTCGAAAAGAAATCTGGTGGTTGTTGGTCCTTTGCCTAAATCTCTTTGCTATTCTCCCCCAATGTTAACACAAGGGATGTGGTAATGGTGCTCCACTCCACCTCTCTTGACGTTCAAAAGACGATATCTACTCAAATCCCAATGCTTGAAATAGTTTAAATACTAGAGAAGATATGTCGATTCATCTCGAGATTCCTGTTTAATACTTGTAGTGCACGGTCCTCGATTGTGTCCCAGGAACCGTCGTGTACCAATGAAATTACGATTTGAAGCACAATTCCTTACAGATGCGTTGTATATTCTTGTGCACGTTCTCCTCACCTTCTGGCTTCTCGTGATTGCAGGTCGTGAAAATCCTGAATTGTCATCATGTCTTGCGGTGGATGTGGCTGCTGCCCCAAATGTGGATGTCAGGCAACTTGCACGTAAGTAGCCTTTCCCAGTGTCGAGTCGTTCACCCGTTTTGTTATTTAAGCACGGAGATCAGTTGCTCTGTGATATTCTAGTCTAATGGTTGTTCTCTCGTGATGTTGCGGTGATTGACAGTTGCAACCGAAACATATGGTCTCTAGAGAGCCTAGACGATTTTAGGTATGGAAATACAATCAATCTTCCTCACGCATTTATATTCGCTGTTAACTGAAGATTCAATCAATCGAACTCACACAAGGGATTTGGCAACACAATTCTCTTAAGGCCGGGCCATTACTTTGTAGAAAATGTCTACCCTACATGTAGATGTTAGGGTGATAGGTCAGTCTTGTAGTCCAGAATTGTATTCTCAAAGCAGTTTGTTGCGAACAAAACATGGCTTCTTTTCGTTCTAAACTTCACTTGATCCCGAATCAGAGTAATCGTGTCTTGTACCCTGGATGGTGCAAGTGCAAATGATGCATTACAGATTCTAATTAGACTGTTATGCTTGGGAGGGGCGCTGAATTGGTTTCGGTTGTGCAGCTACACTGGTCTGAAGTCTGCGTCGGATGAATGTAATGACAACTCTTACTTAAGTAGCGGCAGCGAGTATCTCTTGAGCGAGAACACTTACTCCCGAGTAGCTGGTGAAAATGGAGGCAACTGCGACTTGGCAGATGGTAATCCCAAACCTCTTTCTCTCAATCTACAGATTTTGCGAATTTGACAAACTATTCCTGGATCTAGAGGATCAGCCAGTTCTCACAGGAAAGCTGACTGCTTCGTTTTTTGTTTTGTTTTGTTTTGTTTTTTGCCCCCGCAGCAACTCGTGCGAAAGAAGGAAGCCGCGATGGGGGTTTCCGAGCTGGCTGCGGCTGTGGCGATGAGTAGAGTAAAGTAGAAGATTCAGTAGACAGTACCCACCATGTAGCAATGCCAGTACTTTTACCATGAGAGTGATTTTAGCATTACCCAGTAGGAAAAGTGGGGTCCAGGAAAGACCTTCAAGGATACCAGTAGCCAGATGTAGATGTTGTGTCGCGAATAACTATCACCACCAGCGCAGTGCACTCAAATTCCTGCTGACATGCTTTGCAAAGCAACTGTTTCTGAGCTGTGAATGAGTAAGGCCCAGTCTAACCCAGCGGCCACAGGAATTGAGCATTTGGTCATTCACTCGCTTGCTCACTTCGATCCAAGCCAACTTATTTGCATGTGTTTGCACAAGTCTGCACAACTCTCTTCGATGCTAATACATCTCCCTTCATGTTTCCCCTCCTTTTCTTAACACCCATATGGGATCCATCTTCACTGCTGCTGTTCTCTTCGTGCGTTTCTATGTATGAAACCATGAGACCTGCATTGACACATTCCTTGCTACTGTCGCAATGTTCTGAGAGAATATTGCACTTCAACAGTGTATATGTGTGTATCTATTTATATCTTATATATATATATATATGTATATATACATACATACGTAGTTCAGATTGCTAGATACCGTACTCTCGTTGTTGACTTGTTTTGAATTTGAATATAGTTAATTTTGATAATGCGATACTTGGAAATTTTTCTGCAAAATAATAAAAATAACACACTTATGTGTGTGTGTATATGTATATGTATGTTTTAAGGTTTGAGCTGTCTATTAGTGAAAAAAAATTGATTCCAAATCTTTGCTTACAACCAAACCGTTTAGCATTGGCCAGTTGCAGAAGAAATTCCAAGAAAAAATGATTTGTCTCTGTACAGAAAGTAGAATGAAAATCTGTCGAAAGTTGTGTTCAAATTTCAGCATGTCCATTTAGCTTGACAACAAACTCTCATGAATGTGAAGCCAATTATCTCCAAGTATCCCTTTGATGCTCTTCACAAGGTTTAGGATTGTGTTATTGTTTTGGAAATGAAACACCTATTGCATGCAAATTGATTTTAACTTCAAATTTTTCATCATTGTTGAGATGAATCTTGACATGTTATTGAAACATGTTACTTAAAGAAATCATACATGTAATAGTTATTTCAATAATTAATAGTTATATATTACTAATACATATCCACTTGTTAAAATATGTATATTTTTAAATGAGTCATGAAGTTTGTTACTTGCCAAAGTAATCAAATAGCATAAGGTTAGAGATACAAGTAGGAAGATAAGAACAATACTGAAAGTGCCACCACAAAATGCAAAGGCAAATCTTGAATATTGGCCAAGGAGGCATATATATTAAAAGATTAGAAAAATATCACAATATGTGGTTAAGAATTAGCAAAATGAATATACTATTAATTGATATTAGAATCTTAGAATAGAATAGTATTAAACCAAAGGCCATATAATTCCAAATTTTGATAATAAGCTAATTTATTTACAAATCAATATGTGGTGTTAGTTGTATATGTTATAAAGTTTTGTCTTATACTTGCTCATAGATTCTAATTCTTAAGTAACTTTTAATAACCATGTCAAAGAACATTGCACAACAAAAATTTGAAGAAAGTTGTTAGAAAATGAACATAAGATCTATAAGCAAGATGAATAAAAGAATTAGAATAAAAAGAGATACAAAAAGATCTCTTTTCAATCATCTCAAACCTAATGAACATAGCCAAAACTTGAGAAAGGTTGCCATTGCTACTATTCTTGAAAGACCTAAGATTTGCAGATTTGGTTATAACAATATATCATAACAATAGAAGATTCCATGAAAAAGGCTTTGTAAAAAATCTTCCATTTCTACAAGGAGCTTACACAAGTAATCATGAACTCACAACTTGAGACCTAAATACCACAAATTTGGCTACCTAATAAAAGACACAACCAAATTCCAATAGAAAGTCTATCTATTGTATCAATCATCAGTATCTTAACATTATTTATATTAATTCTATTAGAAGTATTAAACTTGCAACATCTCACTCTCAAATACCATGTCTTTGACTACAAAAGTAATCTAGGTAAATATATCAAAGCTTATTTAATTGTGGCCAAGACTAACACAGTCCTATCATTCAAAATGTTAAAATAAATATTTGAGATAATTTTAAGAAAAAAAGAATAATATAGTTTTTATTATTTACATGAAGGTATCTTGAGGCCATTTGAAAAGATTTTGAACTAAATTTTGATAAGAAATTTAGGTGTATGAAAACTAACAACAATGTTGTATTTTGATCATCCAAAATCAAATAAATCAATCACAAAATTTTAGAAGATTAACTTGATCAATTTACAGATCTTGTAAAAAAAACTTCATAATATTTCCATAGATTCCATTTGGATCTCATTTAAATAAGGGCTACTACCTAGTATTTAGCAAGGTATGATGTATATATGATCAAAGAACATAGAAAAAATAATAGAAGCTACTTTCAAGTTTAGACATATATAAGTTTTTATACAAGAATTAGAATAAAGAGATCATACTGTTTCTTTTTTGACTTTCAAATATTATCATAAAATGTACTTAGAAGAATGCTAATAAGATCTAGCTAATTCTAAAAAATACTTAAGAAACACTCAAAGCAAATCAAATATGGAAACCATAAAATAATAGAAGAAATTAAATGTAATATATTTCAATTACAATGTAATAGCTAATTAAAAATATCACTAATATAAATAGGTCAATGTTTTGAATGTAGAGGCAATTATAGAATTAATAATTGTATTCATATATAATAATAGTCAACAAAATTTTAAAATAAGAAATATTTGAAGATATAAAATGAAAATCCTATATCTTGTATACTTTAGAATATTAGAAATTATTCAAGAAGATTTGTAATCAAATACAATAAGAGCTATGTATAGATTAAGCTATAAAACCAACTAAGTTCAACTCCAACTAAAATACAATTAGAAACATACTTAACAACACTGTAATTACTATTACATTGGCTCAATTGCTCAAACTCAATCTAAAGATATTATCTTATTTAAAACAAAAGGCTTATCTAAAACCACCAAAATAAATAGTCATTGATATTAATATTTCAATAATTAATTTAGATATCATAGTTATTAAAATCGACATTAAAAAATATTATTTAACTAATATACTTGTAAATGAGAGATATGAAGTCAATATAATGTAAATACTTGAAAATTTCTCAAACTACCTTAGTTTTAAGCAACTTCATTCATAGTCCATATAATCAATAATGCCCAAGTATCAAGGACATGAATTGAAAGAAGATGCATAAACCTATGAGTATAAATTTTCACTCTTCAACCTAAGTTATAAGGTGGCCTCAATTAAGAGTTGCTTGTAATTGGTGGTGTAAAGTAAAGTAAGCAAATAACAAGAACAAAAGAAGAACAACCACAAAGTAATTGGAATAAATGACATGAAGCAATTACAACACCTAAAACTAAGTCACCATTTGTTTACTATATTTTCATCCATTAAAAAGTAAAAATAAAAATAAAAATTATATTTTTAGATAGATAATTTTATTATATTTCCAATGACATAAGAAACATATAAATCCGAATTACTATGAGTAAGTTATGAACTTTTAAAGATATGAAGTAAATAATTAAAAAGTGAAGTGAAAATAATTTATCTCAAAGGTAACTTGCTAATAGATCAAGGATTCGAGCCTTATCAAGGCTCACATGTAGTATATAAGGGTATCTAAAAGAGGCCACGAAGCCTTAGTCTTAACCTTCTAATTACCTTCACGGTGCAATAATCCATATGGGACTTGTTGTCACGGCCATAATCATGTAAGCTAATAATTACATATAGAAATAGGTAGAAGTAAGTAAAAGTAGGTAAAAATAAGTTAATTCTATAATATTTAATATAGAAGCTTCCTAGAAATTTCCTAGATGCTGCTTTGACTTCATAGGTGTCTTTAATTGACTTTTTGGATTAGAAACGTGGTCAACAAGTTGGCCATGTGCCATACATGTTGTTAGCTTGAAGATCAAGCTAACTATGTGGCCTACACGTAAAAAAACTTAACTTGTAAGTCAAGGCATGTGCCCTACAAAGTCAACACATATTGGAGGTCCTATAGAACATCGCCACGTAGCCCCTAGTTAGAGAGTATATATAGAGACAAGAGTGAAGGCTTCTTCACTCTTGTCAACTCTTTTCTTGCTTCTAGTCTAGTTTCAAGGGTCTCTAGTTTTCTTGTCTTTTGGCAATAGCCATTCCAGTTTCTCTTTCAATATATATACTTGTTTATATATATTTTGTTACCTCTCTTTGAGTGAAGGCTCACTTGTTTGAATTGTTTTTTCATCGAGTTCTTGTCCTTGACAGATTGACAAGAGTGCACTTATAATATCAGAGCTTTGTTTTTCTTGAGTAAGAGTGGATTACCCCTTTCTCTTGACAAGACATAAGCATATTAGAAGTTTGCGGATTACCCACTTCTAAACTGATATTGTTCTTAGTATCTTCTTTGTTATCAAGTCTTTTTCTTTTTCTTTTGTCTTGAGCAATATCAGACAAATTTTTCTTCTTAGTATCATTATGGCAGAGCTTGTTGAAATGAAGAGTGCAATGGCACAAATGCAAGAACAATTGAGGGAGTTAATGCTTGTGATGCATCAACTCAATTCACCAACACAGGAAAGAACAAGAATAGCAGAAAGTGGAGATATAGAGATGATCGGAGCTGCTTCAACATCTGCACCAAATCACATTCCTTCTCCAATTGTACAACACCCTGTAAGCACTAGAGAACCAAGAATTACTTTACCCGAGAAATTTGATGGTATAAGATCAAAGTTTTGAGGGTTCATCAATCAAGTACAATTGGCAATTGAACTTCAACCGCAAAGCTATCCAACTCTAGGATCACAAGTCAGGTTTATTGGCACTCTACTCTCTGGTTCTGCATTATCGTGGTTTTCGTCTTTTCTTGAACAACGAAATCTAATATTGGACAATTTGGAAGCTTTTTTGGGGGAGTTTCGATCTATGTATGGTAAACACGATGCAACTCGTGTCGCAACAAACAAGATCTGAATTCTGCGACAAGGAAACCGCTCAGTAAAAATGTATGCTTCACAATTTTGATAACTTGCAATTGACATCAAGTGGGATGATGCTGCACTCATCAGTCAATTTCTTTATGGATTGCAATACGAAGTAAAGAAATTGATGCTCAACTTACCTGATCCTCAAATTTTGAGTCAAGCAATCGATTTTGCGGTAAAATGTGACAATCGACTTTTTGAATTTTGATTCGAGAGTCGTACACGGGAACCTCAATGTTATTACTCAATGGCAACATCAACATCTTCGCCAAACAT